TAAAGGGGTCCCTATATAGGTACTTTAAGGCTTAAGTATCTACTATATGGGTACATGGAGCCTTAGGGTGCCTGGACCCTGAAGTGCAGCACCTTTTTGGGGTACCTGAGTTTCTTATTACAGGATCCTAGCTCTAAAATCAAACTGGGCCATGCAACAAAAGGTACTGCATTTAAGGGAGTAAGTAAACCCTACAAAAGTACGCATGCCCGTCTGGGTTTCTGTATATGATTTATATGACTACTAACCCCGAAGACTCAAGCCTGGTCAACGCGGCAGTTTACTAACCCCCGAAACCTCGACCCTGCAATGTAGTTTAGGGTTTAGGGCTTAGGGTTGCAAAAAGCACAGAATTAAAAGTTCACCACCATCCCAAAGCTTCACAGCTGTCAAGCACGAAAGTATACTACCCCCCACGACTTGAAAAACCTGCAAAACACACGGGTTTACTGGCCTCGACGCTTCAAAACTGCAAAACACACAGTTTCCTACAGCCAAGGCTTCAAGTCTGCAAAACACGACGGTTTAGGGCTTAGGGTTTACGGTAAACACGAAAGCTTACGAACCCCAAAGAATCGAGCCGAATGCTTGCTACCCCATAGGCTTCAATCGTGTGACAGAGGAAAGTGTGCTACCCTACCAAGGGTTCAAGCGTCTGAAACACGAACGTTTACTACCCAAGGGTTCAAGCCTGTGAAAAGACAAAAGCTTACTCCCCCAAGGCTTAAAACATGGAAAACAAGCACAGCGGTTGGAAATGCTTTTGCTGAAAACCCCTCCCGGTGTGTCAGGACTTCTTCGGCTTTGAAACATACTGCAACGCACGCATCTTGCCGGTTGCTTGCAAGAAATCTATGCGTGACTTCCGCGTCTTCAAGACGCCGCTATCCAGGACTTCCCCTACGGCCCCATGTACCCATATAGTAGATACTTAAGCCTTAAAGTACCTATATAGGGACCCCCTAAACCCTAAACCCTAAACCCTAAACCCCTTTAAGGCCTAAGTATCTACTAGAAAGGTACATGGAGCCTTTGGGTTCACGCTTGACATTGAACCAGTGTTCCAGAGAGGCTCTTGGTGTCCTGGTCTTCAGGTTTAGGGTTTAGGGTTTAGGGTTTAGGGTTTAGGGTTTAGGGTTTATAAAATGATCCAGAAACCCTACTTACAGGATCATGGGACTTAGTAACTAGGGTTATAAATACGGTAACAGTTATATTTGATTATAACTCCCATTAAGGTACTTATAACCTTACTTACTAAGTCCCAAGATCCTCCAAGTAAAACGTAAACCCTAAACCCTTTGTTGAGAACCCAGCAGCTGTGACATCGGCCGGGTAGGAGCGCTCGAGCAGATCCCGGCAGTGGGCCGGACTATTCAAATCCCACCAGTAGAAACTACAAGTAAGTTATGGTAGTTTAAGGTAAGCCATAGATCTTAAACGTCTGAAACCCTGTTCGCCCTAAACCCTAGATCCGCAAGTCATAAATCCGAAAGCCCCAAATCCCCAAACTGGATGTCTAAAAGGTCTAACCTCTAAACCATACACATAGACCCCTGTAAATCTAACCTAAACCCTAAACCCTAAACCCTAAACCCTAAACCCTAAACCCTAAACCCCTAAACCCCCTAACTGCATGCTAAACCTCGAAACCATAGGCCCTCTAGGCTAAACCCTACCCATAGGCTCCATTATACTTCCTTTTGTGTCTTAACGGTTTAGGGTTTAGGGTTTGGAAAAAGGGTTAAGGTTTAGGGTTTAGGGTTTAGGATCCTATAAGGTAACCCCCCAAAAAAAAACTACTTTGGAGACTACGGGTAGACCCCTGATGCGATTCCGACGCCCGCCCACCGCCTGCCGTAGCCCCAGTTCTTCTCGGGCGGCAGGCCTCCACAGCCTTCGAGAGCTCTGAGGACTTAGGGTTTTACGGTTCGCAATAGGGTTTAGAGGTTCTTTAAAAAAAAAAAAGAGTAAACTTTCAGATTGCTACTAAATAAATAACCCAAAAAGGTTGAAGGCTGGGTATTTAAACCCTAAACCCTAAACCCTAAACCCTAAACCCTAAACCCTAAACCCTAAATTGGAGAACTAAGATAAAGTCTAGAGCTTGGGGTTGATATAGGGCTTAGGGTGAGATGAAGGTAGTGCCCTTAAAAATTCGAACAGGGTTCCGTTAGGGCTCCTTTAATGGCTCTTTTGAAAGGTTCTGTAATGTTTACTATAAGGGTTGATTCCCTAAGGCTCCATGTACCCATAGAGTAGATACTTAAGCCTTAAAGTACCTATATAGGGACTCCTTAAAGGCCTAAGTATCTACTATAAAGGTACATGAGCCTTTGGGATTACTATGAGGATCTGATGCAAGCGCCTTTACACATAACTGGCATAGGGCTTTGGGGTCGATCGTACCATATACTGATTATAAGGAACCGTAGGGAGTAACATGGGGCTTTACCTTACTTGCCCAATAAGCCAGGGAAGCAAAAGGTTAAACGTTCAGGTTGCTACTATAAATATAATAGCCCGAAAAGTTTAACGGTCGGGTATTGGAAAACTAAGTTATTCACGATTTTTGTGTGTAATGGAACGAGTTGAGACTTCAAAAAGGGAGAGCGAACCCAATTTCGCTCACGAACCATTTCCACTCAAGTCAGGCGATGTCCAACGAATACTGGATGCCAACAGCGCTGGATTCTTGAAGAAATCACCTCGGCGACGGCACATCCTGTCCTCGTCCGTCCTCAGCATTTGCAAGAATCCTCCCTAAACCCTACACCCTAAACGCTAAAAGCTAAACCCTAGTTCCAGCAGCTCCCCGCCTGGGTTAAGCCCATCCAGGCGCATACCTCTCTAAACTCTGTCATGGCGGCGAGGTCGTGTTCCTGAAGCTCGTTCGCGCCGCTTCTTCGCAATAATGTAGATGCCTTAATAATCAAAATTGGGTTTGGGGGTATGTTGTACTATAATTATGATAAGGAACCCCCGAAACCCTATACTAATTCCCTACATGACCTTGATTCGTCCCTTTCTGCATCCTCAGCACTCCCACCAGTCTTGCATGCATTCAGAGGAGTCAACTTGGCAACGCAACTCAACAGTTCCTCTTGTGAGTGTTTCTATTTTTGCAATTAATATGGAAACATCGAACTTCGATAGTGTCGCTGAAAAGCTTATATCAGTCTTTCGGCGTCCATTCCAGCTGCTGAGAGACGCTGCAGAACAACACTCAGCTGATCATGCGAGCGGCCTCACAATCAAAATGCACTCGCCGATGCAGAAACATAACCCTAAACCCTATACCCTAAACCCTAAACCCTAAACCCTAAGCCCAGTAACATAACACAACAGGAGACAGGGTGACTGCCCGGGGCCTCCCCAGCGACCAGCACAGCGCGGGGGCGGTCCCAGCCGTGTGCGTGGACTTTGCTGCATCGGTAGTACCTCCATGGGCCGACACTTAGGGCTTTCATAGGGTTTTTTAGGGTTTAAGGTTTTAGGGGTTTTAGGGGTTTTAGCGGTTCTATGGCTTATAGGGTTTATGGTTTTAGGGGTTTTAGGGGTTTTAGGGTTTAAGGTTTTAGGGGTTTTAGCGGTTTTAGGGCTTATAGGGTTTATGGTTTTGGGAGTAGGGTTTTGAAGTTCGGGCTTCTAGGGTTTGTAGGCGTTTCATGAAGGCTTAGGTTTAGGACTTACTATCTAGAGGGTCTCGATTTCGGGCTCTATAGGTCTCAAAGGTGTTTCATGAAGGTTTAGGTTTAGGACTTACTATCTAGAGGGTTTCGATTTCGGGCTTTAAGTCTTGCAGCTTACGGCTTAGAGGGTTAAGGTTTACAGGGGACAAACTGAAAACCCCCTAAACAGATACCCCCACAAACCGTTGCAGCCAAACCAGAGCAATGCGAGGTTTTGACTTCAAGGGCCCGCATGAGGAGAAACAAGCCGAGACCTAGTGTCGAAACCCCCCGGCATGCAGCTTGCGGAAGCAACGAGAATCCCTAAATGGCTTAGGGCTTAGGGTTAGCAAGCTGTTTGGGCAAAAACAAGAACCCTACGGTGAACTCTTAAGAGTTAACGACAGCCCCCACAGAAAACTGTCTGGGAAAAACGCTGTTCGAGTCGAAGGTTCCCTCCCAAAAGTCACAGGTCCTACAGTCCCCCGAGGCCCGGGAGGCGGACAATTCTACTCAAGGGCTTCGGGGCATCTTCTACAAGACGTAATAAGGAACCCTAAGGGAAGAGTAGTTGAATTATTCAGTTCAGGGTTTGGGGTTTAGGTTTAAACCCTTAGCCCTAAACCGTGTAGGCCCCTAGATTCGACCCCAATCCTGGCGAAGCTCACCTGCATTGCCAGGTGCTGCAGCGAAGGTCGTCTTCTCCTGGACATGGCTGCAAGCGTGATCAGAGTTTGACTAGGGTTTAGGGTTTAGGGCTGAGGTTTTAGGGTTTAGGGATTGATGGATTCTTACTTGCCTAGCATCCTAGGGAACTACAGAGCAATCCTTGGCGGATACTAACTGTTTAATGGATTGTATAAGGATTAAATGGATCCCTAAACCCTATAAACCCTAAACCCTAAATCCCATGTACAAGGATTGAAATACCGCAGAAATCTGCGAGTTTGTTTGAAGTCCAGTGCTCTGGGGCTTCCGGGTTTGGGCGATTTTAGGGTCGGGGGGTTCCGACGATAAATAGTGGCCTGGGTTCCGCTAGATGGTTTAAAAGGCCTTCTTATAAGGACCTGAATAATTACCTATACTATTTTGCAGGGTATCGGATCGAGCAAGACCTCAGCGGTCGGCGTAGCTGATTCCCCAGTGCGGTTGCACGACGAGACGGTGAGAAGCCCGTTGAGCCCAGGGTGGCACCGGGCGGCCCGTCGGCATCGCTCCAAGGCTCGTAGCCGAGTTCGCAGACTTCGTCTGGCGGGCCGGAGGCCTTGGAAAAGGGACCTCGAGCTCCTCGCGGCCCACCACAGCAGACCCTGCTACGTCGAACTACGGATGGGCGGTGGTCGCAGACGCCAGAACAAGTCATGGCAGTCCCAGGATCAAAGCTGGAACCAGCCTCAAGGCAAGTGGCAGTACTGGTCCGGATCTTGGCCCTCTTCGCCGCGTTGGCAGCGGGGTGCTTCGAGTCGGGACACGGAGTTGCGCTACGACAGTGTCGATGTCTCGTCCTCAGGAGTCGAACCGCAACCTGTCAGGACTATGGAGCACATGGAGGCTACGTTCGGGGAGGGTGGCACAGTCCTCGCCCAGGAGATCCAAAAGTCCCTGAATCAAGCGAGAAAGGCAGACATCCGCGTGCGAAAAGTGCGGGAAAGCGTCGAGCTTCGCAAAAAGCAGTGGGCTGCTTATGCGCGACAAATGAAGAACTCCTTTCTCAAGCAGCGGCAGAGCCACGAAGCAGACCTCAAGAAATTGGAGCAGGAGGAGGCCGAGGCTACTGCAGCCGGCCGCGACGCGGCAGAGCACATGCAGGCCTTGGCTTTGTACGGGGTGGCCCCGGTTGCAGAGGAAGGCCAGCCACACGACACGGCTTGGGAGCAGCTGCTGACAGCTGCGGAGCCGGAGCAGCCGGCTTCGGAGTTTCTCTCCCGGGCTTTGGCCACAGCAAGACAGATGCAGCTTGGCACAGGGCCAAGGGCCCCGGCACGTTGTGCCCCAGGGCTCGGTGGAGAGACAGTGACAAGCGCCGGGCCGGTGGAGCCTGGACATCCCAGTGCTGGGGCAGACATGGGGGTTCCGCCACGGAGTGCTCAGATGACACATGCTCCCCAGGCAATTCGGGACCCCTACTTGAGCTCGCCAACTTAAGTCATACGGTTGCGGCTCCAGTGGCGTCCCCCTCCATCTCACCGGGCGATCGAGCTCGTACTGCTCTGAAAACCCGAGGTGGGGTCAAGCAGCGACCGGCAACTCCGGCTCCCCCGACTGGTGGTATGACGTTGGAGGAGAAGCTTGTTCGTCGACGAGAAGTGGAGATGTTGGCGTTTCAAGTGGGACTGTCTACGGGAACGACGGCCCCTCCGCATATGCCGGTGCCTTCGACACCACCGCCGAATGCGCCTCCGCACCCAGCGCCGCCGGTGGCACATGTCCTGTCGGACGACGACCATTCCGACGACGAGGACATGGACGTGTCCAGCTTGATCAGAAAGTGATCTTTGCGGTCAGGCCCCTGGACTGTGCGGGAGAAGGATCTGATGACTTCCGCCTGGCGCTGCCTGTTCCCTGGGGGACACCATGTGTGACCGCCCGGGACTGGCTCAGCGGTGGGCAAGGAACCATTAGATGCCATTTCCATGCATGGCGACAGCGGCCTGACTTTCCAGGTAGTGTGTACAGGCGACTAGTCTCCTTGATTTTCCGTAGTGGTGTTGTCAAGGAGTGTCAGCCTCGCGATGGACTTGGTTTCTCCCGTGGCCATCCATGTCAAAGCTTCCTCGATGTCACGCTGCAGCGGGTGCTCCCGTACTGGAATGGCCGGGGCGGTGCCTGTTACAGCTTGGGGCCGTCCTCGCGGAGTCCGGGTGCTCATTGGGCTCTTGAGCTACCCAGATTCCCCCTGCCGGTCTGTGGACCCTGCTACACGCATTGCGCACATGGCGGCTATAGCCCTGCCTGCCTGCCTCGGCTCTTCCTTCTCAATGCTGCGGAGCTGGAGCAGGTGCCCCCGTCTTGCATTGGCCGGGATGGTGCTTGTGACAGTCTCGGGTCTTCCTCGCGGGGTCTGGAGACTCATTGGGTTCTTGAGTTCTCCAGGCGCCCTTTGCCTGCTCGCGACCCTCTTACTTTCGGCATTGGTGTCGACCTCATGTCAACCTGGCACGCCTGGCTGCAGGAAGGTCGGTACCCTGTCGGAGCCTACTGCAGGCCACGCCTTGCCGAG